TAAATAAATACTTACAGTTTAAAATAATGCTAATACATATTTAATAATTATTTATTTTACTTGAATTATTGTTTACGTTCCAAAGTACAAACAATATTGAACTTGAACTCTTCTTTTTCTCATTGTCCAAAATATTAGGTACTCTTCTGCCTAAAAATATTTACATAAAAGCCTACTACGGTTAAGTTAATTATTGTCACCAAAAATCTTCTACCTAGATCAAGGAAGTATGCTTTCTCTCTCACTTCCTGGTTCTGTCTCTTTTTGTGTGCTGATATTGGGCCATGTGGACTCATTAAAAGAATCGAAATTTATTTCGGATTTATTAAGCCTAAAACAAAAGAAATTCCATCAAAGATATTGTATAACAAAAAGTTAATCAAAGCTGATTATACGCATTAGTGGATTTGCATACATATCTTTAGAAGGCCGCTACTTCTTCAAGGTAAGCTACCTTGATCTCATCTCATCATAAAAACTTTCAACATATTGAATTCATCCTGTTTTCAGGCCATCAACTATTGACTACCAACTACCACCTAGCTTTTATTCGTTGCTAACTACCATATTGTGGACTATTTATCATATCTACAATTAACTCTCATCTAACCCATATTCTTGGACGAAACATTGAAATAAGAATTATATTTCATAGCATCACTCACCTTCCAGTCTGTAACTGTTTGATACTGACCCCAACGCACTTCTACAGATATATTCATTCAGGTTCAGTTTGGAGCTTTTGAACCATTAAATTGTCTGTTCTGCAAGGAAACAAGTAAGACATTTCCAATTATAACTCTCGATTGTATAACAGGGCGATTCAAATTCAATTTCCTTTGGGTACAGGAATACCTATGGAACAAGATAATAACTATAATAAAACATATTTTTATATTATATTTTACCAGATAAACTCTATCATCATCAATATTATTAATTTTACATTTAAAAGGTATTTACCTTGCACTGTAAACCGCATAGTACTACGTGGGTTCATTTATTCGCTCCGTGCGAAGTCATGGAAAGGGAAGCAAAAGCGATACTAGCGCTAGCTGCGGATAATTCGTGCATTTTAGGGCGATATTTTGTAATTTTGGCATATCAAATACACGTATACATCTTACTTTTTTTCAAAAAAAGTAGGTAAAAACAATACAATAAGCAACCGGAGTTGCTGTGTTGAAAATTGTACAAATACTAGCAAAAAAACAGTGAAACTTATATAAAAAATTTCAGTAGCAAAGTGGAAATTAAATCAAAGAAATAAATGGATAGATATACAATAAGAAGGAAAATTGCCTTTATTTTTGTAATAATAACCGTAATGCTGCAAATAGTAGACATCAGAAACTTGAAAGGTTTTAAATAAACAATAAATTATCATTTTACCATGTTCTTTAATATCCCTTATTCTTAAATGTTCATTCAGCAAGGACTAGATTTCAACATTTCTGCCTTTAATTATTATATGTGGTTGGAACGCAATTTTGTAACTTACTGATGGGAAATCAGTTTTAATCATTCATTCTATGTTTTCTTTCGAACAAAAATGAAAATATAAGTAATTATCCTTTTTTTATACATTTTAACTTCACATGGTGTTTTTGTATTTTGACAGAATAAACTAATTCTTCAATGAAAACTTATTAGACTTAGGCAACTTCTCATACATTTTCCAGTAAATACTGTTGCCTGCCTATATTTTATTATTGATTATTATCGATTATACATAATTTTCTTTAATTTAAGCGATATAAATATATAATAATAATAATAATAATAATAATAATAATAATAATAATAATAATAATAATAATAATAATAATAATAATAATAATAATAATAATAATAATAATAATAATAATAATAATAATAATAATAATAATAATAATAATAATAATAATAATAATAATAATAATAATAATAATAATAATAATAATAATAATAATAATAATAATAATAATAATAATAATAATAATAATAATAATAATAATAATAATAATAATAATAATAATAATAATAATAATAATAATAATAATAATAATAATAATAATAATAATAATAATAATAATAATAATAATAATAATAATAATAATAATAATAATAATAATAATAATAATAATAATAATAATAATAATAATAATAATAATAATAATAATAATAATAATAATAATAATAATAATAATAATAATAATAATAATAATAATAATAATAATAATAATAATAATAATAATAATAATAATAATAATAATAATAATAATAATAATAATAATAATAATAATAATAATAATAATAATAATAATAATAATAATAATAATAATAATAATAATAATAATAATAATAATAATAATAATAATAATAATAATAATAATAATAATAATAATAATAATAATAATAATAATAATAATAATAATAATAATAATAATAATAATAATAATAATAATAATAATAATAATAATAATAATAATAATAATAATAATAATAATAATAATAATAATAATAATAATAATAATAATAATAATAATAATAATAATAATAATAATAATAATAATAATAATAATAATAATAATAATAATAATAATAATAATAATAATAATAATAATAATAATAATAATAATAATAATAATAATAATAATAATAATAATAATAATAATAATAATAATAATAATAATAATAATAATAATAATAATAATAATAATAATAATAATAATAATAATAATAATAATAATAATAATAATAATAATAATAATAATAATAATAATAATAATAATAATAATAATAATAATAATAATAATAATAATAATAATAATAATAATAATAATAATAATAATAATAATAATAATAATAATAATAATAATAATAATAATAATAATAATAATAATAATAATAATAATAATAATAATAATAATAATAATAATAATAATAATAATAATAATAATAATAATAATAATAATAATAATAATAATAATAATAATAATAATAATAATAATAATAATAATAATAATAATAATAATAATAATAATAATAATAATAATAATAATAATAATAATAATAATAATAATAATAATAATAATAATAATAATAATAATAATAATAATAATAATAATAATAATAATAATAATAATAATAATAATAATAATAATAATAATAATAATAATAATAATAATAATAATAATAATAATAATAATAATAATAATAATAATAATAATAATAATAATAATAATAATAATAATAATAATAATAATAATAATAATAATAATAATAATAATAATAATAATAATAATAATAATAAATAATAATAATAATAATAATAATAATAATAATAATAATAATAATAATAATAATAATAATAATAATAATAATAATAATAATAATAATAATAATAATAATAATAATAATAATAATAATAATAATAATAATAATAATAATAATAATAATAATAATAATAATAATAATAATAATAATAATAATAATAATAATAATAATAATAATAATAATAATAATAATAATAATAATAATAATAATAATAATAATAATAATAATAATAATAATAATAATAATAATAATAATAATAATAATAATAATAATAATAATAATAATAATAATAATAATAATAATAATAATAATAATAATAATAATAATAATAATAATAATAATAATAATAATAATAATAATAATAATAATAATAATAATAATAATAATAATAATAATAATAATAATAATAATAATAATAATAATAATAATAATAATAATAATAATAATAATAATAATAATAATAATAATAATAATAATAATAATAATAATAATAATAATAATAATAATAATAATAATAATAATAATAATAATAATAATAATAATAATAATAATAATAATAATAATAATAATAATAATAATAATAATAATAATAATAATAATAATAATAATAATAATAATAATAATAATAATAATAATAATAATAATAATAATAATAATAAATTAATGTTTTACTTGTTTTACAAATCCATATACTTTTATTAAAACTAACATGTATACTTTTTAATTACGAATTCTATTAAAAGTTGCATTTGTCAGTATACGCAGAAATAGTCCATTAGTATCAAAACGAATTGGCGCTGCTGTCGCGCACAGAGCGAATACGGTTTTGTTAAAATCATATACTGTCAATTTTAATCAGACATTTAATCTGTTGCACATAAAGAACTCTTTAAGATATTCTGTTTATTTAAATAAGACCCCAGACCACTCTCCAGTTCAGCAACAATAAAATTTTACTAAACTGAGTTTTAGCCGAGAGCAAACTACAAAATATTTGAGTTTCAGAACTCTGTCTTTGACTGGCTCATTTAAATATAGTAAAATCTGATAAAAGATAGGCCAGTCGTAATAAGTAGTTTGATGTTTTATTGATTTATTATCCAAGTTATCATTGACTTTGAATATCAACTCCGTTTTTCATGATCAACTTGGATATAGGCAACACATTATACACTACTTATGACAAATTCTCAGTTTTTATACCTATTTCTTAAAATAATGTAATCGTAGCAAAAATCTTGTGCGCATTTTGAGCAAAAAGTTCGTTGCCGCTTTCGACAGATTGCCATGCTCCGCTACGGGTCGCGCGGCCAATTTTCTGTCTCAAGCGGCAAAGTATCACTTTTCGCTCTGATTACACAAATAGCTATTGTATTCAAGAACCATCAAAATTGTAAGAACCATTATAATTAAAAAATTATATCCATGATGTATAATTTAATGTAATATTGTATCAAGGAAATGTTTGTGGGCATGGGCGTCGACTTAGAAATATGATTGGTGGGGCTCAGTACCGGGGGTTTGGGGGGTATGAAATATCCCTAAGAAAGCTTTCTAAAAAAACCTACCAAAACGGGGTTTTTATGCATTCCGGAGGACAGTATTGATGAAGCTTTTGCCTCACCACTTCTTATGAAGTCGGCGCTTATGTTTAAAGGAAACTAATGAATTGTTTATTATAGGGTGGCTCTCCTCCTGTTGAAACACTACGCTTATACCCGCTTTTACAAACATTTGAGAGGAACATACCAAATGAAAATCAAACACCTTGAAATAATGGGATATAATGTGTCTTTAATACAGTTTGAAGAATGGTCAAACTTGTTATATACTTCAGAAAGGGTAGATTATTTAAAAAAATTGATATGGCCGGACCATTACGATATTATGTGGGCAACAAAAAGATGAATATCGTTTTAATAATATAGAGGCAAATATATTATACGCATTGAAATTGAAAACATTTTATAATGTTGATAATTATTCCAAAGGACTGCAGACAATGTAAAGGAAGGTTGAATAAAGTAATTTTATTGTTATTTTTTATAAAATAAAATTTGAATGTTTTGCTTTTTCTTTTATTTCATGTCTATATAGCATTCTTGTATTGCGGTTTTATAAGCTTTTATTATTCCATTATGATTCTACCGATGCTTTTTTAGGTACTCAGCAATAGTTTAAGAACAGCTTTGTTAGAATAATGAATATAAATCGGTGAACAGCTGAGTGTGGTATTAGAATTAATTTTTAATTATAAAAAACATTACTCTTCGGTCCACCGTACAAGTACCTGTATATTTTTATCCAGTATTTCTACGGCTGACTGTATTCGTTTCACAGGCATTTGAAACCACACAGAATAAATCTAGAAGCTATTAAACACTATCTGGTTGATATTACAAGTTTACAACTATCTAGTCAAAACGGCTCAAATACCTACTAAATCTGAGTGCCATTTATTAAACTGGAAGCCAAAACAAAAAATATATTTTTAAAACTAACAGAAAACTATTTGAGAAACCAAACGAAGTTTTTTTTTAACTCATTAATTTAAGGCAAAATTTGTTCAAAGTTTTTAGTGAAAATTATATACAATTGAAGCTATTGCAGGCTATTAAGTGCGGTCTATTATCTTTTTATTAAATTTGATTGTGTTGGTGGAGATTAATTAATTTTAATCAATTTTGGTGTTTCTATTTTGGGTTGATGTATAATAAAATAAAAAACTAGTTGGTGCAAAAACTAATCTATAAGATTATTTTAACTATTTTAAATTATTTATTCTACCAGTCTTTTTTACTTTTAATATGGAAAAGTGTTGTAAAAATAAAGAATTTAAGATATGTTGTTGCAGAGAGTGCTGTGAAATTTTTCTTGAGAGCTACTTATCAAGAAAAAAAGGGATGCCCCTCTTGGAAGGCCCTATAATTTTGTGCTGCAAATTTGTCTGGATCAAAATGAAATTAACATGAAACCGACGCCGAGTGAAATTGATATACACTCAGATGCAAAAAAACGCAACGCAAAAAATTTGGGTCTAATTGAAAGTGTTATATTTTTTCTTTTTAATCTTATTTCGTAATTTATTTTAGCATACTGTACATAATTTTATCAACTTTAATTTGTATATTCAATATTTTCATAAAAATTAATATTTAACCCATTATACAAGGTTAATCGAAGGGCTGTGTTTTACTCTAATTTTGAAACACCCTGAGGGATAATATCGCTAGTGATTTTTCTTAAAACATCATTTTTCTTTTAAAATCATATCTCATCGACATTTGGGTTTTTTGTACTTTCAGCCCCCGCCTTAGCCATGGAGAAGGATCGGTGATGCTGTGGGCAGGAATATCCCGGGATGCCCGCACTGCATTAGTTTTTCTAGACGGTTCACTGACTGCGCACCGATATATTGAAGAGATATTAGCGAATCACATTGAACCTTTTTCTCATCATATCGGTGATAATTTTATATATACTAATGCAGGATAATGCGCGGCTACATTCTGCAATGTGTGACACGCAATACCTAAAAGAAGTTCGCATTAACAAACATGTTTGGGATATGCTTGGCAGGCGGGTTTTTTTTATGTCCGTTGGATATGTTTTCCATTTAGCCAGAATCAATAATATTAAGTTGTATCGTACCTGTCTATTAACCCTATCTATTCCAGAAAAAGAAGGCCCCCCAAAACAAGGAGTATGGAAATGGGTAAACACGTTCCACACCCAGGGGTCTATCAGGGTGACTGACACACAGATTGAGAGGACCTCGGTTAAGAAAGGTTGTAAAATATTTAAGTTAACAAAAACAAACCTATACTATAATTTTAAGCCGCAAGCTTTGATAAAACCCAAAGGGCTTCATATACTGCTGAATCGTTCAGCGACAAAAGCTACATTAACTTAAATGGGGCTAAAATGCCATTTGCCAGTAGCTGGTTAAAAAGTTGCTGTGTTTGAATGTTATACTTTTTGCAACTGAAAAATATATGGTCCAAATCACTAATCACACTACAACTATCGCAAAGGTTGGAGTCTATAACTTTAATTTTGTGTAAATGATAAGGGTAACAAGCATGTCCAAATTTGATTCTGCTGATCGTTACAATACTATTTCGTGGGTACTTTAAATTCTTATGCCACAATTCGTTAGGTATAACTGGGTGGAGTAAGGTGTAACGGGTTGGTTTGTTTCTACAATATTGAATCCAGTACAGGTTCCATCGTTCTTTTAACTTCTTTCTAGAATGACTTATGCATTCATCAATGCTAATATTATTTTTAAAAATTTGGCCAGTATTGATGCTTTCCTTTGCTAGTTTATCGACTGTCTCATTAAAATGTAACCTGATATGTGCCTTTACCCATAAGAACTTTATATCAAACTGTATTTGTTTTAATTTGTTGATTTGTAATTTTAACTTGATAATAGAAGAGTTTTGGTTGGGTGCTATAATGTCAATAGCTTCAGCTATACTTTTGAGGACAGAGAGTGAATCAGATAATATGATTACCTTCTTAAAGGAATGATGTTCGGCATATTCTAGTGCCTGAATGATCCCAATGGCTTCAGCAGAAAATATTGAGGTAAATGCATTTAATTTATACCGTGCTTTAAAATTTAAAGAGGGAATGAAAAATGCACACCCAACTCCACTATTTTGTTTGGACGCGTCAGTGTAAATGTGAAGGTTATTTGGATATTTTGATAGGTGACAATTTAGTACTCGATGACTAATTGTGGGTATATAGCTACGATGGAATTTTAATAGTTACTGGATCCAAGGCTAATATATTATTTAAGCTGTTTCTTTAGCATAGATGCCGTATAAATGGTCTCTCTGAGAGCACTACATGATAAGGGGGAAGGTTTTTTCCCAGTATTTGTTGGTCAGATCGTACGTATTTAAGTTTGATATTTGTTTGAGTATCAGAGAGTCTTTATTCGTGGCTTTATATATAGATTTGCCCGCTAACAATTTCCTGCGTAGTTCCAAAGGTGGTTCCAATGCTTCAACTCGGAGAGGTTCTACAGGAGTAGAGCGCATTGCACCTATACAAAGTCTAAGGGCGGAGTTTTGAAGTACTTCTAATCTTTTTAATACATTTGCTGAAGCTGATCCATAGTAAATACTGCCGTAATCCATAATCGACCGGATGTACGCCCTATAGAAGATGAGACATGTTTAGGGATCCGCTCCCCACCATGTCCTTCGTATTAATTTTAAAAAATTTAAACCTTTATTGCATTTGAATACAATTTTATCTATATACGGTCTCCATGTGAGTTTTTTATCAATTGTGATACCAAGATAAGTGGCTACTGATGACACGGGGTATGGGATGTTATTAATTTTGTCTATGTGAGGGAGATTATGCCTAGTAAAGAATGTAATATTTGATTTTTCAGGAGTTAAATTAAAACCTAACTTATTTAGTTTTTCCCTTATAGAATTAATAGCATCTTTTAGTGATGTTAGAGAATTTGAATACATTTTTTCACAAAATCGTCGGCATATTGTATAAAACCGTAATCTATGTTGTCATGAAGATTTCTTGTAAAAATATTAAATAGAATGGGTGACAGCACTGACCCTTGGGGCAAGCCCGTGGAGATACACCGAGGACCTATTAGCGTGTTGTTTATGGATCTTACATAAGTTTTTCGATCTACAAATAAACTACTTAACATATTACATATTCTTGGCGGAATAGAGGCACTTAGCAATTTGTCTCTTAACATAAAAATGTCAACAGAGTCTTAAGCCCCTTTTATATCGAGAAAAGCTGCTCCCATATAATAATTTTTTGAAAGACATATGTTCCGTAAAACTCAACTCGGAAAAATGAGAAGTATCGGCAACGGCGCTTTTAAGCACATCGATCAACCGGTCGATACTAGAGAGAGACGGGTGAAAAGATGATGAGGTCATTCATGGCGTCCCATGCATAAAAGACACTTCTTGTTCTGTTCTCACTAAGATATATTGTACCTAAATTTGTCAGATAATTGAAATAATAATAAAGTGCATATGTAAAGTAGTGAGTGTATTACTAGCTGAGCTGGTCAGCAAAAAAGAACGGCAGATCCATTCTCGAAAGAAAGAGAGGTTTTGCAAAAAAGCAGCACGCCGACATTGATCCTTCGGCCGGATATCGCATCGGTATCGGTATTACATCATACACACAGCGAACAGCGACAGGAGTCTACAAGTTAAAAAAGTTAGTTACTAGCATCAAAGTAACAAAAAGGTCAGTGCCTTATTTTTCCTATATCATTATTTTGATATCTACCAATATCCTATATATCCCTTTAAAATAGGCTAATACTTGTGTTATATCAAATTTAATAATAAGCTATTTTCGAGATTGCACATTTTTGCATCTATTAAGTACAATAAAATCACCTTTGTGTTAAATATATCAAACTATCCTCGATAGATTGCTCATTTTTGCAACTATTATACCTTTGCAACAAAACTACAATACCTAATTGTTATTAGAATAATCTGCACTACTCTACATATTAAGACAGGCAATTTTTATTATAAATATTTATATAAATAGTTGAAAAGGAAGCGAATTCCAGATTGCATTGCCTAGTTGTGTAAAATAAATACACTAGTTATCTACCTATCTTACTTTACTTGTGAACCTACAATTAACATTTATTTTAAGTATTTTTGTATATAACATTTTATTTCATACAAATATACATATTATATCAGCACAATTATGCCTGAAAACGACGAAATTAATCCCAGTGATTTACAATTAAAAAATCATACGCAACAAAGAGGCATTTATAAAGGTCAGTTAACGAAATTTTCCACGTATCTCAGCAGTTTTAATGGCGTCGATATTAAGTCAGCTTAAAAAACGGTTACAGAAAGTCGAAGCGCTTTGGGACGACTTCCAGCGTTGCCAGATGGAAATCGAATTAATAAAAATGATGATATTCAAACAAGGGAGCGGGAACTATTTGAAAATAATTATTTCGAGTCCACCGCTAAAGCTCAAACTGTTATTGATGAAGCAGTGAAAGAAACGGAATCAACTCGA